ATGTTCTTGTTATGGCTCTCACTTCTTTAGGGTATATACCTAGTAATGGGATGGCTGGGTCAAATGGTATTTGTATTTCCAACTTTTGAAGGGATCGCCATACTTCCCAGCAGTATTTCAGGTATCAGCAGGGTCATCTATGGTGGATGGGTTTCAGTTGTGCTTCCAGAGTAAGACAGACTGGGAAGGAGGACAGGGACATGCACTTCTGAAAAAACTGGTCACAGAAAACCTTATGAATAGTAGTGAGACATTGTCTGATATATTACTGGAAAACTATGAATAACAGTGAAATATTGTCTGATAAAGTGCCTGAAGATGAGCCCTTCAAGTTGGAAGGCACACAAAATACTGCTGAGGAAGAGCTGTCTCCTCAAAGCACAGTCACAACCTTCATGAAGCGGATAGAGTAGAATTTTCAGGACCTCTGTTTGCTGGTGGAGCACAACTCAAAATGAGAAGAAATGGCTGCAAACATTCATTAATAACTGGAAGGTGGAATGAATAATGTATGCATCTAGGAAAATTGGAAGTTGTCAAAAATGAAGTGGAATGCATGAAAATCAATATCCTAGGCATTAGTGCACTGAAAGGGACTCATATTGGCCATTTTGAATCAAATAATCATGATGTACTATGCCAGGAATGAAAAATTGAAGAGGAATTGTGTCACACTCATCTGCTAAAAGAACATTGATAATTGGAATGTGAAAGTTAAAAACAAAGAAGAAACTTGAGTAGCTGGAAAAAAATGTCCTTAGGGATGGAAATGATGCCATAGATCACATGACAGAATTTGGCAAGACCAATGGCTTACTCATTGGAAATATCTTTTTTTCAACAACATAAATGGCAACTGTACATGTGGCCCTCACCAGGCAGAATATACAGGAATCAAATCACCTACAGCTGTGGAAAGAAGTAATGGAGAATCTCAATATTATCAGTCAAAACAAGGCCAGAAGCTGACAGTGGAACAGATCATCAATTGCACATAAACAAGTTCAAGTTGAAGCTGAAGAAAATTAAAACAAGTCTATGAGAGCCAAAATAAAACCTTGATTATATCCCACCTGTATTTAGAAACCATCTGAAGAATAGATTTGAGGCATTGAACACCAATGACTGAAGACCAGACAAGCTGTGGGATGACATCAAGAACATTGTACATGAAGAAAGCAAAAGGTCATTAAAAAGACAAGAAAGGAAGAAATTTGCTCTTGAATGGAAAATAGCTAAAATGAATGG